CCCCCCCCCCCCTTTTTTTTTTTAAATAATTAGCATTTATAAATCATTTCACTGAATGAGTCCTCAGACTGTAATCAAGATTTCTAGGACTGATGGCCATCCTGAAATCCACTATCTAGTGCAGATAAGCCCTGAACGACACGGTTAGGCCTACAGTCTATGTAGAGCAGCTAGTATAAGATGCATTTATTTCCTCATAGTTTGTATAACTTATATGTTCTGTTCCAGAAGAGAAGGAAATGGTGGAGCAGAAGAATAACAACAGATACACCAGAAACAGCATGTATTTGATAGTTTCATAGCAGAAAAAGCTGATATTAAAAGAATTAGAAAGGGCTTAACATTTTGTATGAGACAAAAGAAAAAAATCCTATAATAGACTGTACTACCAGAGAGGACATTAAAATGGGTGCTTACTGTTGCAAGATAATTGGAAAATACTTTTAAAATAGCAACCTTGTTTCTAAGCATTCATTTTCTGCAGCTATATCCTATTTCACAAGCATCTATAAAACACTCAGTTACTGTGCAGACTTGTTAATTACATGTGAAAGTGAGCCTCCTACGAAGAATATTCAGTATCTCAACCTGCTCTGTAAGAAGCAATATTGTTTGTGCAGTGCTTCATTTAGCAAGTTAAACACCTCAGCAGGCTCAGAAGACTCTGTTAAATAAGAGCCAAATCCATTCATTCTACTGCATCACCATTCTGTAATTACTTTTAGAGCTCTATATTTTTCTTTGACCATCAGGACTTATGAAACTTAAAGTCTTTATTTTTTATTAATTAAAACACTTCAGTTGGTTTTATGTGATCATTTTAAATCAATGACATGCTTGCTGCTCGAGAAATATGCAACACCTGCAAACACAAAATATGTCCACTCACAAAGAGTACTAGTATTTTTAGCAAGGGCAACCTACCAACAGCCAACTAAAAAATAAAGTTTCATTTTTTTCAAATTCACTACTGAGAAGCAAGTAAATTATTTTATTTTTATACCATCTTCAGTGCAGCAAACACAGTGCAAAGATCCAGTAGCAATTGCAATGACTTTCTTTCCTTGCAGTCCCTGCACTTGTCGTGGTCTTCTAACATGGTCATCAGAACCATGGCCTAACCGATGATAATCTCCTTTGCCCCTGCAAAGAGAAGGTAAAACAATTCAAAACTGTGTTTTAATTCTAAAAAAAAAAAAAGGAACAGCCTGTGTTTGATATTTGATTTGTAGATATATTTATGAACAGTCCAATACCAAAATATTCTCCAAATATTCAACATTAATCATCCCTAGCTTGTATGACGTGGACGTGATTCTGCTGATAAAGCAAAAATTCTTAATATTAAAAAATTCTAAATACACTGTTCCTACTCATTCTGTGTAGGTCCTTCTACCACTTTTGCTGGAGGTTGTTTGGTTTTTTCCTCTTAAAAGGGTCAAGTATTAGAAGCATTCATCTGCAAAAACAGTATGTTTACTGAGCTCAGAGACTGGAACTTTGTCCACTTTAAGGATATCTCTAAAGTCATGCAAACAAAGGGGCAGAAGGATGTTAGGAAGGTATTTTGCTTAGTCTTTTTAAACACTTAAGTCTAGTAGTTTAAACAACAAAATTTGGAATGGTGTAGGAAGTTTAAAACAATGAACTAAAATAAAATTCTCAGACTACAGCCACCACAAGCTAGACACAATTTTGATAATATACGAGAATGTTATTTATGCTATCATCTTCTGCCCTGCATGATACTTCAGACTTGTACTTCTACTGATCTCCTCGGAACTTCTGCATCCTGCAGTGGTCAATGCCTGAAATGACAACTCCGTGCTTAGGTCTCCAAGACAAAATACTTCGATTTTTCATTCAAATAGCACTATAAAATGTTCCCCAAAGTGGTAGATTTATTACCAATCAAGACAGAGGAACTCAAAAAAGTTCTTGATGGGGGGGCAGAATCAAAACAGTGATGGCAGTGTAAGACTAATACCTGTTGCAGACAAGGTTACATCTAACACTGTCAAAATAACTAATACAAAACACTTACCATGTATATACTGCTCCAGATTTGGTAAGAGCCACAGAAAACTGTGATCCACATTCTACTTTAACCACTCCAAGGCCTGTGAGGGAATCAATCTAGGAAAATAATATCAAATGAAATCAAAGTTAATTAAGGAGGCTCTATTTTCATAGACTGCACTGTCTTAAGCAAAATATAATGTGCAAGTGTGTAAGTGGCTGTATGTATATTTATAAATTAAAATGTGTATGTACATAATTTAGCAGAATTCTACTCCTTTCATCTCTCTACCATTTACTACTTAAACATTAAAAAGAAGCTCAGATTTGGCAAACTGTAGAAGATCATCTGCAGTGTGTTTTGGCAATAGTTACTCAGTAATTGCTCCTTTGTACAAATGGTAAGGCTCTGTCTCCAAATACTCAACATTAACCATCTCTAGCTCATATGATATGCATGCGATTCTGCCAACGTACTAAAGATATTTAAACATCCAGTACACTCTTCCTATTTATTCTGTGTAGGTCCTTATGCCACTTTACCATCAATCCTATGGTGATGAATTGATGAAACAAACAAGCTATTTTCATATTGTGTTACATCATGCAATAAAAAACTGTTATTTGGGACAGGCTGACAGACTTTGTCCATTTGAAACAGAATGGGGACACCTGTATCCAGGTAATAAAGTGTGATTCTGGATTAGGAATCCAAAACCCACTGTGCATAGGTATACACAGTGACACCCACATACACCTCAAACACAAACAACGTTCATCTTCATCACAAGTGCTGAAATTCAAATTAGATGGCTACATGGATTTCATTTGTAACATATGAAGAAATTCCAAGTCAACCATGCATCCACATGAAAGGTTTAATATAGAGATTACTTTTTAATCAATTGATACTCCTTTCTGGAATTAAGTTATGACTTCAGCAGTATTATGGAAATTTATTAACACATAGAAATATGAAGATTTCTTGGCAAAATCTAATGTTTTGACAAGAACCAAAATTAAAATGAGAAATATTGCTGGAACCAGCAATGTTCTCCAAAGAAAAAACCTTCAAGTGTAACTTTAACAGTCAGCACAAAATTGAAAGACTCATCATTGTGGCCTATAAAGTTCGTTCTTAACAACAATCAGAAAAATTTTGATGTCCCAGCACGAGTGGAAGTTTGCACATATTGGCAAATCTGTTTTCAACATTCTCCATCAACCTCATGATTTCTAAAACAATAAAAAAAATTACATTCAAATACCTTCATTGGTACTTTACAGCCATCACTGCCTCCTCTCCCAAGTTTTCCATAATCTCCATCACCCCAGGACCAGACTGTATCATCATCAGTGAGGCACAATGTCTGTGCATCTCCACTGCCACAGGCTATGTCAATCACACGGTAGCCCTGGAGAGCTTCCACCTGTAAAGAAATCACCCATTTTTGTTCACAGTAAAAGACTCAGTCATTTAATTTCAGAAAAGATGACAAACCCAACTTGGAGCGCTGCTTCACTGGAACTAGAAGTCTGAAACATCACAGGAACAAGCAAATAAAGGTAACTCAAAGGGCTTTGCTCTTTCAAACCAGCAAAATGAAAACTAACCATGTATTTTAAATACTAGATTACTCTTTTTTAATTGGTGAACTAGTTAAATTTTTTTGACCTAAAAAGTCAGGAACAACAATTAATACAAAACATAAGGTTATCAAAGACTATATTCTGTTGAAATAATTTCAGGCTCTCTGGGTGAGTATTGTATACAGTAAGAAAAGAAAAAGTACTATTTTCAATTATTCTTTTACTAGTTTACAATTTTCTAGCACTTGCATCATATTCTGAATTTAATCAACATCTTTTGAATTGCTGCCATCTAGTGATGAAGTATGGCATTTGGAGTCACAAAGTAAAAGGAAGGTGGCCCACATACATTGCATCCTCCCCATCCTCACCCCTACTTTAAATAGATTATAGGTAGCACAATTAATCATCCAAAGCAGTATGGAACTTCACATACTTCAACTCATCTACAGATTATGTATTTTCATACTAACAAGAAACATGGAGGAGGGAAAAATGTACAAAGACGTATAGGAAAGGTGGGCAGAACTTGTTTTTTGAGGGGCAGGGGAACGAGAACATCTGGATACAGATTATAAGGTCCCAAAGTGGACTAAAAATGTATGATACCTTGCCCCACAAATTGAAGCACTGAAAAAAGTTAATGCTTGTGTGAATAGAAATATGTGTACAGAGCTATGAATAAAAATAACAAGCTAACATTGTTTGATTCAACTAACATAATCTTATCTTTTGCTGTATTTTCAGCAAGAAATCACAGGTAGCAAAATGAACTCTCATTTCAAAGGCAGGACAGTTTTCTTAATACCATTATTCTATCTTAAAGCTCTTAAAGTCTGGTTCACAGGAGTACGATGGTCTGAATTACAACTCGTCAGCTAATCAGTATACTCATTCTTCTTGTATTCCATACTGTCCCAAGTTCTCAGATTTACCACTTAAGAATCAAATGGAAACAGCTATCTTCGTCAATAATTGCTTAACTCAAATTTCTTTAGCAAATAGCAATTAAATACTTCATAATTACTTAGGCTAAATTCTTAACTTAGTATATACTTCAGTAACATCTCAGTATTCAATCACAAGAATTAAGAGTATAATTATTATGTCAGGGAAAAAAAGCAGTTTGCAAGTGACTAAGCGGCTATCACTGTAATTACTGGTATATTTTCCAGGAAGTAAACAATGAGGGGACCCAGTATACAAGGAGCTCACTTGTTACTTTCAGTGCAAAATACTCCTGTAAAGGGGTGGAAGTTACTTACTGGGGGGGTGGGGGTGTTTGATCTGGGGTTTCCTTTAACTCTTCTCTAAAACAAATTCCTTATAAGCTGTTCAGTGACCTTTAGCAAAGTTCTGCAGTTCCACTTCCATTTTATTCTTCCAATCCATTCCTGTTTTCTAAAGTAGCTGTTCATTTCTTACAAATACTTGCCACCATTTTGCCCTTTCATTCTTTATATGCAGAAACGCAAAAGTTATGAATCAGAAGGGAAAAACAGGACTAAGACTATAGAACTCCAAAGATTTCTTACCAGTTTAGGTTTTAGTTGATCCTCACTATCTCCATGCCCAAGGCGTCCATATCTTCCCTTGCCCCACGTAAAAAGGTCTCCTGCAGCTGTAATACATGCGCTGTGTGCTCCTCCAGCAGCAATGTCAACCACTTCTATACCTCTCAGAGATTCAATTACACGAGGACGATCACAGGGACTGAAATGAAAATATTCGTCTTGCCAAAACTTTTAGAATAGACCATTCACATTCACCAATGTATGGAGAGATGTTTTTAAAAATTAGTAAAATAACTGAGTATTTGCTTTTGCTCCAGTTTAATATCCTAAAGATTTGTATTTAATTAGTCATTCAGAAATATTTTTAGAGGCCTATAAAAGCTAGAATTGCTTTACCATACGTTATACTACACCATTACAGGTAAGCTGAAACTACAAGACCACTTCCATTAAAAGCCAGTCAAAGCTAAGCATTTATCCTGGAAAAATCAGTCCAATTAAGATACATTATCAAAATTTCAAGCATAAAGTGGACTGTTGCCTCCAAGGACTTCGGAGTTCCTTTTTCTTTTTGGATGAGAACACTGTTATCTAACACAACAGAATTTCTCCTTTTATGTAGGCAGCAATGCATGTGGAGATCAGAAGCGGAACAACAGTTTTGCTCCCTAAAGTGCCTTGAAGTTCTACGTATCTACAAGACAAATCCCAAAGGAAAGCCACTGGACTTCAGCATCCACAGGTATGTTAGAACACAGTATCTAATTACAGAAATCAGAGTAACTGTTTTTCTGAAAAATACTTTGTGGTTCTCCAATTCTAAAAAGTGCATTTCCACATCAGTTCTTAACACTGACTTCTACATATAGGCAGTACTCATACAACACTTCAAATACATAGCAACTACAACAAGTATCCACTAATAGTTTTTAAAAATAACATTTCAAAGTGTTACTTACCTTCGGTTTCCATGACCAAGTTTACCATCTTCTGCTTCGCCCCAAGAATAAACTTCTCCCTCAGAAGACAATGCCAAACAATGCTTTCCTCCCGAGTTCACTGCAACTTTCTTTATAAACACATGTTGAATGGATTCCAGTAAAGTTGGAGTAGAAACTGACTCTGTTCCTCCAATTCCAAGCCTACCACCTGCTCCGTATCCAGTCGCATACAGCTTTAAAGTGAAGAATAAAATTTAATTTTATTTGCCTCTTGAAGAACATTCACTAAAGCTGAAGAGAAGAATTCTTAACGAATGTGTACTAGAATACAGTTAAAGGAAAGGCTGAAAAAACACTTTCTTACACACCTCTATACCTTCTTCTGGAAAACAAGAAATATTTTTAAATATTTCACAAAAATTTGTGAAAATATGGCTACACTCAAGTCAATATGAATTGTCATTGACTTAATGGATTTAATTTTAAATCTTAAGGCTGATTTTGTAAAAGTATCAAGAAACCATAGCTTTGTGTGGTAACATTACAAAATCATTTATCATGTGTAGGTCTCTTTCAAGCAGCACTATTCTAGTTTTCTTTCTTCTGTGGAATACACACACCTAAACACAGTTGCTTCTTCCCTTTCCACCGCATAAATACAGTTCTAAGTACTGCTTTTCACTCTCTTTTTCTATCTGAAACTCATTTCTCTCAACAGAATGATGTCAAATGTCATTAATTTGTCCCTTACCCTGCTGTGAATCATTAACAATGATGACACTGACTGCTAGGAATCATTACAGTATCTCACTGACTGAATGTAACTGTTACAAAAAGCTCTAGCTAAAATTCTCGATCACATCCTTAACACAAAGCTACCATCTGTATCAAAATAAAGACTTTTTCAAATTCATAAGCTTATTTTGTTCTCCTTTACCTTACACTAAACCTCTGCATGGTGCTCCTTTTCACTGAGGATTTAAGCATCTGCAAATTAGATCCTGCAGTATCTAACTTACAGGCATTTAGCCAACTGCGAACAATCTCAGATTCCAATTACACCTCTCCCCTGTCAGAGACACATAATCACCATCACATTTTACTGTCTGTCGTGCTTTATGGGACTCTATGAGGATGTTACTTATATGCAGCTTTGTCTTCCAAAATCTGATCACAGTTTTGAATTAAGAACTAAAATACATTTGTTTCATGCATTTAATGCTATAGTACACTGAATTCCTAGACTGCACTGGTGGATTTAGTATAGTTCAGTTTCCTTGAAAAAAAACAAAACAAAACAACAATAACAATAAATAAATAAATGCTATGAACGTGATTTTTTTATTTAGCCAAACCCATTCTGACTGAGGATGAAATATTTCAAGGGAGTCTAACAAACAATCATTTGTTGTATCCTTACTTTCCCATCAGCAGTCACTGCAAACAGAGTCTGTTCACCACCAATTAACTGCACTGGTCTAAGGGTAGCAAGAGCTTCACATGGAGTTGGGACTTTGACTTTTGCCCCTTCAATCCCACCAAGTTGTCCTCTGTGATTATGACCCCAACCATAAATAGTTCCACTGCCTCCAGCTGAAAGTGTCCAATCATCGGGTCGTCTGCACAAAATGCAAAACAAACAAAATTTTAAAAGAGCTTTTAAAAAAGTCACAAAAACCCACAGTTTATCATCATACAGCAATGAAGCATCACAAGACCAAACCAATGACAGTTGAAAGAAATAACCTATTCATCCACTGGACCAGCTGTTCATCCTGTTCTCTTTTAAAGACATCATGGCACTCATGAAGAACATCCATATTTTCGTTATCTGCCATTAATTCTCGGATTTTCTTTGCCACCTGTAAAATATTTTTGATTAAACAACATTAATCAAACTATCAGTTACTCCTACAACAGTTGGCATAAAATACTTCAAACTCAGTAGATCTTTTTGAATGAAACACTTCCGTATGTTCCATGAATGATTTAACGTATTCCTGCAGTACCTCATCAAGGAAAAGGCGGGGTAATGGTGTCCTTTTATCAAGAGCCACGGCAACCCTGGATGCCATGCAGTATCTCCTGAACCAGGCCCATTTGTGTGTCTCTGCACAGCAAGGGAGAGTGTCCAACTCCAGATCACAAGCAAGAGCCACAAGCACCTTCAGACAATCAAAAAACATTTTAGTGATGTATCAAAAACATGTAATAAGAAGTAATATGCATTTGCTGTGGTTGAACAGCTTACAGACCAGTAGGGTCTGAACACAGTTTCAAAGACATGTAAAGTGCAAGGGCATTAAGAGTCATCTTCACCACCCTCATGGATGGGGCAGCATCAAATGTACACGCACTATTTCATATGGCTATGTATCTAATTCCCTCTTCCAATCCAAAAATTTTCACAAACCTACTGTGAAAAACACTCCTAAATTAATTAACTTTTCTGTATCAAATACCATGTGCTGAACGTTTTACCTTCAATTTCTAAACTGTGTCCTTCCTACAATTAAATCAATTTCCAATTGATTTTTAATTTGGTTTAGCTTCAAATCAGTATTACTCATGAAGATTGTGAACAATGGATTACTTCTTCCCTGCATAAACTTTTACATATTTCAAGAATTTATTTTCCTTAAGATAGATAAGTCCTCTTAGTTTAACTTTTACTAGATGGGAGGCTTTCTCAGCTTTTTATTCCTGTTGCTCTTTTTCTTCCTCTATTCCTGTTTGCTCTTTTTCTTCCTCAGCTTGTTCATTTTTACTTTGATGTACAGGGTTGAAAACTAAATAGCCTTCCTTTTAAGACATTCTTATTTGTTCCAACTAGATGTAAAAAAAAAAACCTCAGAGTATTTAAATAAATAAAAATATATAACACTCCTATTAGGACAACTCAGAAATCACTTACCAAAAGTGTAGTCTACTGTACAGATGTTTTTCTGACCTATCTACCTCTGCCTAGCTACGTATTCCTTATTCTTTATTTGTATATTTGATTCTCCTTTTAGAAGTAGTATTCCGATTTTGTCAGAAAATGTTTCTGATACAGGACTAGGCGAGCTTACCACATCTCACAAAAAAATCCAGAACTATAGTAATACATTCTTTACTGATGGTACCCCATTACCTTAAAGAAAGGGCTGTGGAGCAACTGTTTGCCACCTCTCACAATGGGGTCTTCATAGTCAAACTGTCGCTGCAAAGCCTCTGGAAGACCTTTAACCAAAGCAGCTAAAGCACTCCCCGTGAAACTCTAGAGAAATCACAGAACTAGAAAGTTAGTCTTACTACATATAACAAAAAAGTACATTATTTAGATGATCATGACAAAACATTAATAAATTCCCAAACTACTATTAGCTATGTGAAGTATCATTTCCATCCATTTTCTAATATAGAATATTTCTGTAACTTCTTGGCGATTCCCAAACCACATCTATACAGTAACATCTATACATTAACCATTTTTTTTCTAAAATGGAGTACTTTTTTTTACAGACTCGCAGATCTGTGCAAGAAGGCTATTCATTTGCACATTTCCTCTTTTGCCATTAACAACAAAAATGTTGTACATCAGAGCCAGCATTTTAATGCTTCACATACATCTTAATGTGAAAAATGTGAAGAGGAGAGCATCACTGCCTTCTTACCAAAGCTCGTGTTTCTCCATCATTATCCCCTAGAATCCGGTTGATGTTAATAGACTGGCCAAACTCTGTTGTGAGTAGTTTCCGTAGTCTCTGCAAGGCCCACATTCTGTGGCCAGCAGCTAAGGAAACATAAGCACACAAAGAATGTAATTACTTAAAGCAATCATTTTAACCTCAAACAAATAGACTCAGTTTTAAGACTACACTTACCTAAGGCACTCAGTTGAGCACAAGCTGCAAGAGAAGCTGCCAAGCGAGGAACTATACTCCTGTTGGAAGCAAAATTTAAGCGAAAATCCAGCAAACAAGTAACCAAATCCATTGAGGGGCATGAAAGAATGCAACGATCTGAGAGAAGGTCTTTAGGGCCTGCAAGAAACAAAAAACAAAAACAACAAAAAAGAAAAAGTGCAGAAGATTCACCCTCAGACTGAAATAAGAACAGAACATAGGCAGGATTTAGCTGACCAAACGCAACAGTCTAGAGTACCAGTCTGCATATAAGTTGGTCCACCCCACCTCCCTTTGAAGGAGCTGGAAGAAAGAGGCACTTTCATGACATAATTCACCTAATTCCAAATCAGATGCATTTTAAAAAAAAATAAAAAACAAAAACACAAAACAAAAAAACCCCAACAACTAAAAAAAGAATTTCAGATTAATTGTGCCTCAAAAGTATCCTCTTTTCACTGATGAAGAGGCCAACTAGAGTGATTACAAAATATTTTAATCTCTTCCCTATGTACAAGTGCACCTCTCAGGAATTTGTCAAAAATGTTTCCTAAGTATGAATGAAAATGTTTTCTTACTATGAATGTAAACGAACTACTGAACTTTGGCATGTAAATATCATGCAATGAATGCAACTGTAAAAAAAAAACAAACAAAAAACCACAAGTAAATCTACTCTCTTGCCCTTCTGTAAAATTCATATACAATACCTTACCTGCAGCTGGCATGATAGGGTAAACAGTGAATCGCCATCCCCATCCATTCACAGAGCCATCACTGATGAACTTCCACTTTAGTTCATCCCCTGGAATTCGCAATTCACTAGACCAATCTGACCACTCACGACCTGTTTCAGTAGGCAATATGAACATATTTATCTCCACTATCTGAGCGAATACAAAAGCCACTCATCAATAGCAACTTCCCTCCATGACTATATATTATAAACATCACAAACACACTCCAGAAAAAAAAAAGCTACATAAAGCACATGAGTATAAAGATGTTTTATTAACATCTTTAATGTAATGTAAGGATGTTACATTAAATCTGAAATAGTTCAATTAGCACTGCTAACAGATACCCTCAGTACTTTTAATACCACATTCAAAAGACAATTATGAGCTCTTACTAAAATCCATTGTTCTATTTTCAAATTATCTTTTCACATTACAAAAATATGTAACAACACAAACATTAAATAAAGCTTTAGAGCTTTTTCCAACCAGGAATCTAATCAGAAATATCTCAATAATGAAACACATATGTATCAGAAACAGTCTGGGGAAAAATGAGTCAACAGTAAAAGCCCACATCATGACTGCTCAGAAATGTTAAGCATAGGGAGTAACTACTGACACCTTTGCAACATGATGTCATGTATAGGGTAGCTTGGATGTAAAATTTGATAAGATTAAAAATACTCCTCTAAAATCTACTGCAAATTAATACTGCTTAAAAATGAAATCAGAGATAACAAGATAAAAGACATGAAGATTTCATGTAGTGTCACATACATAGGCCAGAGTAGAAAACAGAAAGAGAGAGCCTAGCTATTATTTTGGGCATTCGACAGCAGAAGAGCATTTGTCTTGACTGTATGAAAGCTCAAATTTCTGTAAGTATTACTTGAAAAAGAAAAAAGCTAACAATAGTAGTATCCTTTTCCAATTGTGTTCCAATTTGTTAAAATATACTCTGATTATACACAAAAGTCACACATGTTGGCGGGGGTGCTAAACACCAATTTTTTTACACCCTAACTACTCTTAGGAAGAGCATGACAACATGCTCTTCTGAGAGATTCCCTGTATTCAAAGATGGAAGATCAATCTTACATGTCTGTGTCTACATCCTATATCTTTTTTAGTTTAAAACAGAGTATCAATTTACCTAGTTCTTCCTTTTTTTTTACTGGCATATCGCTCACAATACATCAGTCACAGACAGTGGTATGTTTCATTCAGTATTTAACAGTAAATCACACAAGACATTTTTGAAAAGCACTAGTTCTCATAACCTGATCGGACGGAAACAATTCTGTTGACACCATCCATTATGGTGAGTGGATCATGACGCCGCTCTGTAGAACACTGGCGATCAAATTCTACCCTCAGTCCCTCAGCACCTGAACAGCAACAAAGAGTTGACACATTGCTACAGAGCAATCAATACCACGAACAAATGCAGCATTTTAGAAATCCACATGAAATCAAACAAGGCTGTTTGGAAGTCGTAACACTCATCAATAAAAATAACTTCCTCTGGTTTAATGACATTATTTGTCTGTAATTTCCTCTCTTTGAAAGGCTTACATCATAGCAAGCTCATGTGAGTAAGGGCTAGCAGACTGAAGACTATATTCAGAACATTGCAAACCAAAGTTGCAACAGACGAAAAATGTCTATTTACAGTTAAGGCAAATAGCTCTTTGTTGCCTGTACCTTTTGATAAGTACTAGGTAACATACTGAAGGAAGTACTAAATGAAAAGACAGCATTAAAACAAGAAAGTATCTCCCTAATGCTCAAGACTAGAAGATAGGTGGTGAATTACTGACCCTGAAAAAGGCTCAGTCCTTCTCAGCTTCGTAACTGAACAGAAAGCAGCAATGATATACAGCTGCAGTCACAGCCAGCGAACCCCAAAAATGCCCATTTCACAGGATCGAGATGTCCATGCAGTATGTAAGTGTTTTAAGAAATATTTTATTATAGCAACAGCATACATAACATGGCTTTAAAAGTTCAATACACACTCATGGAAGCTAAGGAAAAACTCTATGCATGCAGGCTTGAAATTAACCGAATTTTAGTAAAGCAACTATAAGAATTCTATACCTGGTATTTTAACTGTGCCACTAGAAGATGTATCATCAGTATATGGATGGCTGCTTTCTACCACAACTGGTTGCGAAGAGAGGCGACCACTTTGTGAATCAGTTGCTACATCTTCCAGTTCAGTAACACACAGCTCCAACAACATATCAGCAACCTAAGAAAAGAAAAATATACACTTTACGAAAGTAAGTTTGTTTAGTCCAAGAAATCTAAGCCAAATACCATTCTTCCCAAATTTAAAATAAATCAATCACTTGTTTTCTGAGTTCCGATGCATAAACCATCATATTAATTCAAAAATACTTTTTTCGGTGTTGGTTAAAGCTAGAAAAGCTTCTAAAACTAAAAGCCAAACAACGTAAGTTTCCAGTAAGTAAATGACAACACAAATAATTGTTTTCCCTTACAGAAAAAACAAACTGTAAATTTTAAACTATAAAACACAGGCCAAGAGATTAATGGAAGTGTAAATATTTAACCAGCATGTAATATTGCAAAACACTGTTTAGAGAGAAAATTCTGATAGTACTAATTTTTAAAGAGCTGTTTCAAACAAAAATTCTGACTCTTGAGGTTAAAAAAAAAACCCACACCAAAAAATACCCCCACAAAACACACCCACAAGCACAAAATTGTGCAGCTACTCACTATTAATGCTAGAAGCAAAAAAAACCAGAATTAATGTATAAGCGCATAATAGTGTCCATCTAATTGGGGTGGGAGCGGGACAACTACATCTCAAACCAGAATATGGGTATACAGAGTTGATCATTGCAATTTGGGGAGGGGGGGGGCGGGGGCAGGCAGGGAAGTAACAGTTTGATAAATACCACTCAACTGCCTCTACATGAATAGCATCAGTTAAGCTCTCCCACAACCCTACTTTACTCGGACCGAGATACCGTATAATTTCATTATTTAAAACTGAAGCTGTCTTGTCATTTAGACCATTAATAAATAAGTAAAATTTCTCTCAATTTAATGCACATTCCTTAGCAAAATCATTATTCATCTTTTTTGTTAGTAAAGCCAAGTTTAATAAAATAATATAAAAATCAGCTTTGCATAATCACTTCTGATGTTTCAAACCAGTCTTTAAGCAGTGCAAAGCCATAGATTAACTATAACATATGAGCATCTTAAAAGAAATGCATTCTTACACATTAGAAAAAAAAAATATTCGAATGGTAGTTACAAGAAACATTAAACAACTTTCAGTTCATTACTGTAAGTAGATATTCTATAAACAATTTATGATTTGTAACATGCTTTCATATAGCTGCTGTTATCCAGTATTACAGCATTTATTAATTCTGTTTGTCAGTTGTCCCAAAAAAACCCCACACCTACAGATGCTTTGTAAATAGTTAGAAATTTCAATACATCAAATGTAAATCTTCAAAATTAAGAAGAATTACTATATTGTTAACAATATAATAACAGCATTTTTAGCCAGCAATAACGACTATATCAATTTGAGAAATAAACTCAGATGCAAGACAAAACCAATATGGAAGTTTCTAAACTAACATTCCACTAATCCAAGAAATAGGGCTTGGTTAATTCAGCTTCATTCCAATAACCACAGTCACTTGTCCAATACGTAAATACAGTTCATTAAGCTTCTATTTTAATGTTTAATTGCAGCATGACAAATTGAGGAAATAGTCTATTAATGACATTTGTAGCACATGCATATATTCATGTAATATTTCCATTAAGGTTCACGTGTATTCAAGTTCAACTCAAATTTTCCTGTTTATTAATTTCCTCAGTATGCTGAACTGCACTTCAAATACAAGAAAGTGTTCTAGTAAGCTACTAATACAAAGGACACAGTTAAAATGCAACAGAAACAAAACCTGACCTGTGGGTAAGCTGTGCCCATGCCAGACAGCACAGCCGAAAGAACATCTCTTCCCTTTTCACCTGCTCGGTTGGACACAGCAAGCTTTAGCAGGTCAACCATAACTCGTGTGTCATCGGGTACTAAGAGACTAGTAAACTCATCCAAGTACTGTGGTTCTGGGCCAGATACTTTACTTTGACTTTCTACGTCCTACAAAAGAAATTGCAGAAATATGTAGATAGTGAAGATGAAAGAAGTATTTCACCGAATCCGAACAAGTTAACTTGTCTGAAGAAGTTCAAAGGTAGTTTAAAAGACAATTGGTAAATCTGGGATTACATGGCCCCAAAATTAAGCTAATGTTAAACCCACTTCTCAAGTGAAAAGCTTTCCTAAAACTAATCTCCCTTAACTTCAGACAACAACAACAACAAAAAAAAATCCCTTCGTCTTTGGATAGATTTAAGAAATGCGGTCATTTATAGGACAACTTTAAAAGCACAAAATAAGCAAAACTGCTTGATAAAAGCATAGCAAGGATTCAAGTTTTAATGAAGGTATTGACAACATTACTTCTTTGGTTTTTGTCATGGTTTCTGCAATGATACTAGCAGCTCCAGGATCATCTGTGACTGGAATGAAAGGGCGGGAAGAGGCAGCAGCAGCTGAGGGAGTTACAGCAGACGGTGTCACAGCATCTTCTGAAGAAACAACCTAGCCAAAACAAATAATAACTAACAAAAACTGCAACAAGATACTGTAAAATCTTTACGAGTCTAATTATTTATTAGAAGGGCTTATGTTCAAAGATAGCAGCAACTTAAAACCAGCCATAAATTCCAAACCAACAGATTCGCTCCCTATATTTTTAGCTTCTAGTTTACGTTCCTAGCACAGCAAACCAGCCAACACCCCCCTCAATGCCAGCTGCTACAAAAACATACAATAAAACATCAGTGCCTGCAGAAAAGTCTACAATGTAGAAGACAAGCCCTAACAACACATGTCAGATTAATAGCTTGTTAAAGGAAAAGATCTCTTCAGTAGCAAGCTTTTTCCTTTTTCTGCTTCTGTTAGCAGCTGGGAATCAACAGAGTAGAATTCCATTCAGGCCACCCTGTCTACATTAGTCGATATAAGCTTACAATTACATTTCATTAAATAATGGTCAAATATTCCCTTAGTCTTGACTTTTTTTAAAAAAAGATCACTCCTGTAAAATTAATTTAATATCTGGTCAAATGGCTAATATGTTCATGTTAACTCTAAAATACTACCAGAAATCATCACAATTACATTTAAACGACACAGTGCATTCTGAAAGTTCAAAACTGATTTCACACTAAAATTTTAGTTTTTCTAAATCTGACATACGCAGAGTACCCACTCTTGAAGTTAGAGCACGAAAGAACTGTTTAATCTCTGCTATTATCAAACTAAATGAGACAATACTTTTCAGCTTTACTGCTCAACACTGATGGAAAAATTCATTTGACACTACCTCCCCTCTCCTGTCCTGCCATGGGTTTGGGCTCAGCCTCTCTTCTATATCTCCTACAAGCACGCATTCATCTCCATTTGCAGGGCTTCCTGCAGAAGTAGCATCCGATGGCGGTGCTGGTGATGAAGAGGGACATTCTACTGGTGCAATCATACTTGCAGGCATCAATGCTCCAACAACTGCATCCCTGAAAGCATTTAGGACAGATTAGCATAAACCTAATTATACTCCCTTGTTGAACTTAAAAATATATTAGTTTGTCTTAATAAAACAAGGAAAGGTTTCCAAGCTCTGGAATTTAGAGAGTAGTTTATCTCCATTCTCCATTGGGCCTGATGCTCAAATACTGTGTTTTAAGGTCACTATTTCAGTGAGTTCCTCTTCATAAATTTTAGCACAAATACTCCGTTCTCTACCAACAAGGAGGGCACTGTAAAGTTTTATTGTTCTTTCCAACCTGCCCCCCACTGCTTCCTCCATATCATCTACCACGATTTACTTACACTCCTTTTACATGATCTACTTGAGCATTCCTAAATAAACAATTTTTTCCCCAGGCACTGGGAGCTTCTGTAAAGAGAACATAACACCATAAAGCTAACATCAACATCAAAAGAAAACATAATGAAGCTTAGGCCTATCCTGAGGAGTCCAAACTTGCGAAACAATTTATACCCGACTCTAAAGACCCTAGTAGGCAGTAAGCTATATCACCTTTTGTTCTGCGAAAGACAAGAATGTTTGCATGTCTACCTGGCATACATGATTTGTAATGCCATCAGTATATGAGATAACGCCTGCTGTTTGGCAACATTCCCATCAAGTGACAGGAGAATCTTAGCGAGGGAAGGGCGATTTGGTTTGGAACTGTTTGCCCCACTAATTTTGTTACTGGCAGCAGAAGAATCTGCATCTGAAGGAACACCTGGAGTGAGAGGAGAAAAAAAAAAAAGAGAAGGTAAGCATTTTTTAATGGTGTAATACATTACCGGAACTGATTTATCTAACTTCTTTTGTTAAGTCAAAGATCACTGTAAAACTAACTCTACTGTAGATTCTTAAACTGCAGTGTCTACACTTACAACACTAAAGTCAATACTGAGGTTTTGCAGCAAGGGCTTTCATAAAATAGTGTTCCATCTTGTTACTTACTCATGAAGATTAAGGTAATACAGATATAAATACTTTGGTGATCAGCATCTAAAAAGAAGTTTTACTTACACAGAGATTTCTCAAATAGCAAGAATATTTATTAGGTACTCTTAAAAATACTAATCAAATATTCTATATATTTAGTTCTTGCTCTTTTTTAAATATATCACCTTGTTCATGAAAAAGCTTAATTAGCAAAATGTTTGGTGCTTTTATATTCAACACAAAACATTGTTGTTTTGCCTCCTTAAGTCATCTACCTTAGAAACAAAAGGTAACAGTACCATCAAGAATTACAGCAGAAGGTAACATGTAAGATGACCAATATTACAGTAGCATCCATCTACCATTGCCTCCATAAAGCTCTATCCCAGATTAAAGACAATGTCTTTGGGGCATTTGATAAAGCATGTTGCATTTTAATTTCCTGAAGAACAATAAAAGTTCAAAGTAGTACTACTTCTGAACAAGTCCTTTAAAACTTTCACTTTCAGTAAGAAGGTTTTGTTGGGGTTTTTTTAGAGGTATGTTTTTGTTGGTGTTTTTTAAGAGATAGTCTTCTTTTTGCACTCTCCTATCACCTGTTAAGCCATACTCACAACTAACTCTCCAATGGCATAAAAAACTAAAAGAAAAAAAACCCACAACGTAAGGCAATAAATACCAACCAAGATAAGAAGCACCTAAAGGGTCCCTCGCTGTCTGGAAAAGTACTGGTTCATGAACAGACGGTGTAGCTACATCCACTGTTGTCCATGCTACACTGTGGGAAGACCCACAAGCAACCCGAGTGATTTTCTGGCCTTCCAAGCCCTGGACAAGAGTGGGCTTTCTATTGACTGTAGTAGTTCCATTGCCTTGTTGCCCATGGTCATTGTCACCCCAAGCATAAACCTGCCAGTAAACATTTTCACATATTACTTTGCTTCACTGGTTGCCTCATTTAATTGTTTTCTTAAAAATTCCTACAAAGGAATCTTAGTGATTTGTATTATTAATCTAGGACACTTTAGAGAACCTATTGCTATGACTTTTTTCCCTGTTAAATAATGCCAACAATACCATACACTGAAAGAAAAAAAGAAAAAAAAAAAATCAAAGCAGCACTTTATCAGATGATTCATAAATTATTGCCAATTCATAAATCATCAGTCGATTCATAAATTATTCAATATTCACAGTGAACAGTAAGTTAGAAGAATTAGTTGCATGGTAATTACATTGGGGAATCAATACTATGATAATGATAATGCTGGATCACAGCAGAAAAATCTGTCCACAGTATTATGACTGCTTCTGCATTTCAAGAGTGAGAAGCAGGAAACTGATCATGAGATAATACATAAACTAGGAAAATACTACAGAAGCTGTTATGACAACAACATTTAAACTCCAATAATAACATGAAAGCTAATATATTTTAAATTACAATCACGCTCCTATTTATTCAGGACCTTAACAAGCAAATAAATATCATTAGAAATTTTTATTCCATTTAATCAGCACCAACACTACTGCACTCCTCTTCCTCAACAGTTTAGTTTACTCCTTTCTGGACAAGGAAAAAGGGGCAAGGAGGGTGACGCACAATGTACCTGTCCAGTGTCAGTAACTGCTAGACAATGCAGTGCGCCTACAGCCACGTGCACAATCTTTTTACCCCTCAGTCCTTCCACAACTTGTGGCTTTCGTACATGGACATCTGTGCCATGGCCTAGCCTGAAGTAGTCGCCCTTACCCCTGCAACAGATAGTAAACGTGAAATTCAAAATAATTACATTGTTTACACATTCCTGTGTCAATGCAGCTTCCCAAATCAAAATACTTCATTTATCACTGGGATTAAACACAAGCACCAACAAATTCTTCAAATCTGAATTACAAAGGCCTAAAAATAAGGGTAACTCCAGTTCTGTGACTCTGTAGCTTTTCACCTCAGCAGAGAACAGGCATCATGATGATTATTTTTTTGTATGTTGCGCAACTGTGATGACATTTAATTTCCTCCGTTGCACAAACACTGCAATTATAAACACTTACAAAACTGATGTGTTTTGATAGACTTGGACAGATTTATATTACTGAGGATAAATCTAACAATATTAGACCCTTTAACAAGTCTGCCTACATGAAAAAATATACCGGAACTAACATGTTTTCAGAATTGAGTTTTTTCACACTGTTGCAAGCCTCAATATTGGTTCTCAAGCCTCCATAACTTAAATTCTTCTAAAATTGTTACAGACAAACTGCACTAAAAATATACCATACGCAAAAGTAATGTAAACAACTTTAAAAGCCTCTAAGAATGTCAGTAAGGAAGAAAAAAAAAAAACCCAGAGATTTCTTCCACTGTGTTCTGCTGCTTACCACAACCAACATCTATTTTTCTCAAGAAAGGTTGTGTTATGCTGGAGGTGAATATGATACATAGCACTGTTGCATACCTGAAGTTAGAACACAGAATTTGTGATTTTTCCCTCATACAAGTACAAATTCAAGAAGATAAGAATAAAATTTTAGAAGCAACTCAGCCAACCTAAAGTGCAGACATGCACAGCTGAAACAGACCCAAAAAATCCCCCTGTAGAGCTCTAATGTCATGAAATAGCTGTAGATTTTATGACTAGACTTAACAGTGTTAAGACAAACTGTGGGACAGCAGGAAGGAATGAAGGAAGGAATGAACAAGAATTTTGCAAAGAGTTTTTTAAAAGACTGTCAGATTCCCTTTCCTCTTTCTCCTTTCAGCACTACGAAAAAAGCATTTAAAAGAGGAGGGGGGAAGCGAGAGAGAAAAATAGTTTCCAGTGGCCATTCCAAGAAACTACATCTCTGCTAAAAGCTTTTCTCCCTTTTAAGAATAAAAGTAACTTACAAAAATGGAAGTTTTGTGGATTTCTCTTCATATCATTCATCAATTGCTGACAAATAATACAACAAAAAAGACCATTTTAAGTCTTCTTAGTTTTGATATACATCAAACGGGTCATAGTCTTATTACACAAGGATGGGGTAAGACCTTGATCTCATTACAGCTCTGAAGTTGACCTGACATACAGTAAGCTCTCAAATTTTACAGAAAGGTTTATAAACTCAAAAAGCCAGGTTTCTGTTCAAAACAAAGCAGAAGCAAGCAGACAACCAGAAGAAAAATAAAAAGGGTTTCTGAATAACTCTGTGATCATCTCATACCAGTTTTTGCTTCAAGGCATCATTACTGACAACTCAGTGGCCTTCTAAGCAGCAATGAGCTCTGTAGAAATGCTGCGTTTCCAAGGAAGTTGTTCCCACCTCCTTTGAACTTTAGTTTCCTTCCTTACTCTACTACATCCTTACTCTGTCTCAGCTCTAGCTGTAATCTACGTACTCCAAACCACGATTCGCAGGTTCTGTTCTTTTTCCCACTCCACTCCAAAGTCTTGAATTAACGTTCCTTCACACGCTCCATTGCTCCCAAGAGAGGGAATGATCTCTCCCTTCCTCCACTAATTCAGTAAGACCCAGGCAACCTAACAGAGCACAATACACAACTGAGCATGCTACAAGACACAGCATTGGAGTAACTGAACAGATTACAGCTTGTCTCAAAAAGCTGCCAATATAAAAGACAAAGCACAGAGATAAGGCACAGGTGGAATTAAGACAGTCAAACAGCAATAAATACAACACGTACTTAGCAATTGCTTTGTTAATACTTTCTGGCAAATGTAACGTACCATGTCCATACCACTCCTGACTTGGTCAGTGCCAATGAGAACTGAGCACCACACTCAATCTGACAAACGCCTTGGCCGTTCAGTCTTTCAATGTTCTGAGGAATGTTGCATCCTTCACTTCCTCCTCGGCCCAGTTTTCCAAAATCACCATCACCCCAAGAAAACACCAAACCTAACAAACACCAAACTGCAGGTCAAACAATGATCACAGTATTCCCATGTGCTAGAAAGTTTCTGGAACAAGATATTCCTACCTTCATCTGTCAAAGCAAGAGTCTGAGCATCTCTGCTTCCACAAGCAACCTGAATGACTCTGTGGCCAAGGAGCACTTTAACCTATAAAAGAGAAAAAGCAGGCAAGACATTTCCAAGAAATTACATCTTAAAACCTTACAGACATTTTCAACCTCATATGACTGATCTCGTTCATTGTGACCAGCCTGAGCATGCCATTTAGCAAAGGATTATCAAGCCTTGCTCGCTCAGGATCCAATCCATTGCTCAATGACAGCAGTAGCTTCCAGCTGTGTATTAAAGTAGATGCAGGACATGAATGTTCAAAACAGCACTAGCCATTTCACATCACTTCCCCCAAAAAAAGAAAGAGCCTGGATCTTTTTGGCCTTTCTGAAATAGCTTTCCTGTTATTAGAGATACGTGTACCAAAATCTAATTTAGATCACTCCAAAGTGAAGTCTTCATACTGCTTTCAGAGTTTTTGGCTTTACTTTAGCTTTATTTTATCATTTATTAAACAAACACATTCGCATTTCATCAGAGACAAGAAACATTTATTTTACCATTTTAGGCTTCAGCTGTGTGGTATTATCTCCATGTCCTAGCCTTCCATACTCTCCAAGACCCCACGTATACAGTTCACCACTAGAGGTAATGGCAGCACTGTGGGAACTGCCACAAGCAATATCACGGATGCGTTTTGTTTTCAACGCTTCTATCAATCTGGGTTTATCACAGTTCCTAGAGAAAATGAGTAAAGAATTCATTGTGCTCATTATGAAAGAGTTGCACAATATACTCCAACATTCATCATCCAAAAAATTTTGTGCAATAACTAACAGCAACCTAAAAATAAAAGAAGATGCAACATTATAATCCCAAGACGTACTCTTTAGTGGTACCAAAAATCTAAAGTTTACACTATTTTAACATACTTCAAAGTTTATTTGAAGAAATATTTTAAAGTATACGGTGCAAAACTTAGGTGACAAAGCCAAAATGCTAAAGTGATGAATCAACTAAAAAGTGTGTAATACAAAGTGAAAACTGATATCCTGTCATTTCCCAAAGTTCAGTGATTTGGTACCTGTGGACACAGAGCCAGATAGTAAAATTAAGAGATGACACTTCCATCCCAACTTTGCTCTTTACAAGACAGAAATGAGAAGTGGAATTTACTGTTAGGCTTCTATGAGAGTACTGGAAACTTTTACTATTCATATGGCTACAATATTCTCTAAATTCAGGGAAGAGTTTCAATTCAAGGTTTTCTAACATTGACTGTGTATCAGAGCCACTATTAATGTTTTATGAAATTATGCATGGCCTCTGAAAACTTGCTCCCATGAAATGCCCAAGAGTTCCAAGTCTCACTTTTAATAAAATTACAGAAACCATGAGGCACTTGAACCATAAACAACAATACTGCTCTAATCTGGACTTTCCTCTTCATTGATCTGACACACATACCCCTATGAACATTTATTTGTAGTCATATAATAACCATCTGAGTTGGGCACTGTAATTTTTTATCTATTCTGAGCAAGCCTTCAAAATATATCAGAATGAAAAACAAAGATTTCTCCATTGGTTATGGTTTGTGGTGTTTTTTTTTTCCTTTCAAAACATTGTTCTGTAGTGCTTTTTCCTCAAAGCTGTCCTATGGAGGATTAAACTATTTATTACTGAAGAATGTAAGAAGTGTATTTCTGGCTAACAAGTTTGTGAACAGAAGTCTAAAGAAAAGGGCTACAAAATACTCTGTCAAGCTGTTATGAACTGTTATAGCTCAGGAATGTAAAACTGCTATGGTTTTACAGGTCAAGGCAGCTCTGTAAACCTTACCTTATAAAAATAACCAAATACTCTATGTCTAAAAGTGTGCCATTTCACCAATGACATTCAAAAATACTATTAAGGACTTCATCCACTAAGTATGTTTCCAAGTATTATACTAATTGAATGCCTCCTTTTGAAATGACTGAAGACTGCTACAAATGCTGCGCCATAAATTGATATACACTGCTGGGGAAAAGAAAAAAAAAAATCTTTTCACAACACAATTTTTTTATTCCCGTTGTATTAAAAGTCCTGTCATTGTCAATAGTAGTGGTCAGCTGTGTTATATCATGCAACACAAATATTCTCTTACTGAAATACAGACAAATTTGGTATCCTTACATTCGACTGAAGTGACCAAGTTTTCCATCATCTCCTTCACCCCATGAAAATACCTTTCCATCAACAGTTAATGCCATAGCATGCCGGCCACCTGAAAGTGTAAATAGAAATTTAAATTTTCAAGCTTTCAGAAAACCGTTCAGAAGTTAACAAATTTAACTTCCAGCAAGTAAGAAACCGTGTACGGTCTAAATTCATAGATTTTAAAAACAGAACCATGAGATTTAATCTGACATTGTATGCAGACAGAATTTAATAACCAATACTTATTTTAAAAAAAATTTAAGATATCAGATATGCTGGGGCATCACAGCACCCAAGAAAATTGCAAAGCAACTATTTTCAGGCTTAATATGTTATGTTTATGTATATAAGAATAGCAATAGTCAGTACCTGAGTGAACAGCCACCTTCTTTACCACATAGTTACTGAGAGCTGTAATCTGGCGGGGAATAGGCACAGTTCCACTAGATATTCCTAAACCCAGCCTTCCATTTGTGGCTTCTCCACAGGCATATACTTTACCCTCTACAGTCACTGAAAATGAAGAAAAAAAAAGTTTGAAACACCATTAATGTTTCACAACTGGAAATCTGTTTCTGCTCTTAATAATTATATTTATTTTAAACTTGTTTTACCTGCAAAAAGGCTTTTGGATCCTCCAGCTACTTGTACAACATTCAAGGCAGACAGGGTTTCAGAAAAGGAAGGGACCTTTATCTAGAGCAGACAGGAAATAAAAATCATTACAATACACTTTAAAGTTTCATAATTTAAAAAGAAGAGATATTCTTAAGTGATAAACCAGTTAATCTAACAGGTACTTTTTTTTTTTTTAAATATATGAAACTCTCCATATTATTCAGACACTTCACACATACTGGTTAATATACACCAAGCAAAATAGAGAAACCAAGAAAAACCATTTAATACTGAAACTATGATAAATACAAAGCCCGAGAAAAAAATTAAATGTGATAAAAACAAGGACTTTCCTTTTAGTAAAGTTTTCTTGAGAAAACCAAAGAATACAGTAACAGTTAACTTCATGTTTCTTGAAAGGCACTCTATGGATCCAAGAGTACACATTTTATTTACAAAAATTAAAGAAATGCTCTCTTAACATACTTTTCAGATTAACGATATCTTAAATTGATTAAACATTCGCCATGTATTTTCCATCTTGCATTATATTAAAAGTTACGCATAAATGGCTGCACTCAGAGCTGAACTTCCTCTCAAATTACACTGAACTGTAAGGAACTTACATTCCTTTCTGATGACTGCACCAGCTCCGGGTACAAGTAATACATAGAAAAGTTAACCAATATCTTCATTTCATGCACTCAAACTCAAAAGGAGCAGAATATGTATACAGTGCTACACATTTTTAGAACAATTAGTTCACTATCACCTAAAACAAATTAACTGGCCGCTAAAAATCAAACTGTATTTCGGAGTACCAACCACAATGCAAGTTTTCTCCAATTTTCCACCCAGCAGACACCTACATTTCTCAGTAGTAAAAAGCCATTAAAACCTACTCCTTGTAGTTTTTGATAATAAAACTGTAAAATTCTGATTAATTTTGAATTAATTCTGAGTTGCATGAGATTTGTACATTTTATTTTTAGCTGTTTCTGTTTTGTACTTAAGTATGAAAACACCAAACGTACCTTGGAACCTTTTAGCCCTCCCAATTGGTCTTTGTCATTCAGTCCCCAAACGAAAACTTTGGTTCTTATTGTAGCTGCCGATTCGAGCCCAGCTGCCTTCTTTCTAACAAGGCTGAACATATTGAGAAAAAAAAAAACAGTCAGTTTAGCAACCAGCATGCTATAGCATAGGCACCTTTTTACTGTATTTACTGATTTTTACAGTTTGGAACAGTTTCAGTACTCAAACTATACCACCACAGTTAATTGGTGATTATAAGAAATACAAGCAAAACAAACAAAACCAACAAAACCCAATAACAACAACAAAAAAAGGAAAAAAAAAAACAAAACCACAACAGAAAAAAACCCACCGGAACGTTTTGCTGATCAGTGGTAAATATACACATGCCACACACCAAATATAAACACACCAAGTTTTTAGCTAGGTTTTCAACTCCAAATATACTGCAGAAGCAGAAGAGTTGTACAAAATGCTATCACCTTACCAGTGTGATTATCTTAAAGAAGTTATTTATCAACAAATGAACTACTTACAATTCTGACAAACTAAGATACTCATTTCTCTTCACTACCATTCAACCTAATTAAGTTGTTCTTGGAATAAACCTCTTATTATTATAGGAATACATAGATATTAAGGTTCTTTATCATCTCCCCCTTGCCCCTACAGTTACCTACCTCCCAGTGTTAGCTTTATCATCATCCTCTTCCTCATTATCAGAAGCAAGGAAAGGGACTGCAGCCAAATCTTCATCCTCTGCACGTATACGTCCCAGTATGCTGAGGCCATGTATTTTGCAATCAATCCCAGAGCTTCTGCACTGCTTGATTGCAATCTCAAGATACCTATGGTACTAAGAAGAAAAAAAACTAAATTGCCATCTTTTGGGTACTATATAACTTTATAAAACATAGGAGAGAATTAGAACTTTTGCTTGACTTTGTCACCTTAACAAAACCAATCTGTAACTTCAAATATTTGGCTTTTCATCCCTACATAATTCATATTTTAAGATAAACATATGGCCTTATTAATTTGAGAAGTATTTCACTTCCAATCTTCTAAAAATTCATTATGCATTCCTCCTTGCCATTACTGAAAAAGGTCAGAACTACTATCCAAAATAAGCTTTATCACCCACCAAAACTATCCCCAAATTTAAGTTTATTGGGAAGTCTTCTTGGTTCATAGGTATTTTGATTTACATCAAAAAAATTAAAATATCTTTACTACTAAGGCTATTATAGACTTATCAGGATAATTAACTTCACTAAACTGCCAGAAATAGTGCTAATTTAGAGGAAAAGTAAAATACCATGCTTTAATAATCATAATAGTGCTTTTCATCCATCTCTTGCAGCAAAATATTTTTCTGTTGCGTACAAGAGTAAATCTCACACAAACTTTACTTACTTCTGTACAGTCACTGAGAAGAGGCACTGTGGTGTCTGTAGGATTTATATTGATTGTCTTTAGCTCTATAAGGTTATTTAAGGAGTTCCCCCCTAGAAAACAAAACATGGAAAGAAAAACATTTTAAGATACGGTGTTTGTTTCACAAACAGGCACTATGAATGTTAAAAAGATGACTATGTTAACACCAGTGAAATACCTACTGTTGAATGTACAAAAAAGTATTTTTCAGACTTCTCAGAGAACATATACATACCTGAAACTACAACTAAAGAGGGCATGTAACTGCTGTCTGCAGGGTCCACTATCATCTTTAGTCTGTGAACAAGAACATCTGGAAAAATCTCCAACCGAATCCAGTGCTAGGGGAAACACACAGAATTTCGTTTTCAGATAGTATTGTTAGGACTGCCATATGGTTAACAAGAATAAATGTGTGCTATTTTTGAAGAAAGTATGAAAAACATTTGTGAATGGTACCCAACAGCTGCAATGCATGGGAACTGGCCAAAGGAAAATGACCCTGTGAACTTCTCTCTCATCCAACCTCCAAATACAAGAGAAACAGTTGCAGCAAATGATTTATTTCACCCAAGGGCAGCACCATTGAGATGACTGAGCGAGCACAATACCACTGGAGGTCAAGAAATGGGAGATAATGCAAATCTTTTGTTACTGTCTGTAGACAACCCAAAGGAAGGGTACTTGGAGATAATCTCAGCATGGCCGTCATCAGAGCATCAAAACACACTGGAGAGAAGCCTAGCTGCAAACCCTGGTGCCTAGGCTGGCCACAAAGCAGCACTGCAGGCCAATAAAACTGGTAAACCATAAACTAAGAAACAATGCTTTTTATGAATGATCTGGATGCAGGAGTCATGTACATTAAGCCAGTTTCCCAATGACACTAAACTAGGAGAAGTTGTGGACTCCCTTGAGGGTAGAGAGGCCTTACAGAGAGATCTGGATGGACTAGAGAGCTGGACAATCACCAACTGTATGGAATTTAACAAGAGCAAGTGCCAGATTCTCCACCTGGGATGGGGTAACCCTGCTTATCCATACAAATTGAGGGATGAGAAGCTGGAGAACAGCCCCATGGAAAGAGACATGGGAGTTTGGATCGATGGCAAGTTGTATATGAGTCAACACTGAGCCCTGGCAGCCAAAAGGGCCAACCGTGTCCTGGGGTGCATCAAGTACAGCACGGCTAGCCAGTCAAGGGAGGTGATTGTCCCACTCTACATTGCACTGGTGCAGGCCCACCTCAAGCACTGTGTGCAGTTTTGGACTCAGTAGAAGAAGGACATCAAACTATTAGAGTGTGTCCAGAGGAGGATAGCCAAGATGGTGTAAGGTCTCAAGGGCAAGACTTATGAGGTCACTTGGCTTGTTCAGCTTGGAGAAGAGAAGGCTGAGGAGTGACCTCATCGCCGTCTACAACTGCCTTAAGACAGACAGCAGAGGGAGAGGTGCTGATCTCCTCCCTCTGGTGACCAGTGATAGGACATGAGGAAACGGAATGAAGCTGGGTCGGGGAAGTTCAGATTGGACATTAGGAAAAGGTTGTTCACTCAGAAGGTGGTTGGTCACTGGAACAGGCTCCCCAGGGAAGTGGTAACGGCACCAAGCCTGTGACAGTTCAAGGAGCATCTAGAAGGTGCTCTTGGTCATATGGTTTCATTTTAGGTAGTCCTGTGAAGAGCAGAGTTGGACCTGACGATCCTTATGGGTTCCTTCCAACTTGAAATATTTCATGATTCTGTGCAAGTGAGGGAGTGCTCGGAGGCAGTTTTAGCTACTGAGAACAGGTGCTTTTCGCATTGCAACAAACTCACTTAAGTAAAATATAATCAATGGGACTGTTAAGAACAATTGTCATCGGTTATTATACTGAAAAGGCAATTGTAATCATATAACCAACTACAGAATAGAATAATTACACCGTATTTCAAAAATCACACAAGTTCCTTATAATTCACATGAAATAATTAGAAAGATAAAGTACAGCTTTATAAAAAATAGGCGCATTTACTATGAAGAAACAGTTTTGTACTTCAGATAACTGTTTTTACTACTCTTCTATCTGACACTAAAG